AGTTTGCTGGAATAGGTGCTGAAATTGACTGAGGAGCTACTGAGAAGTCTGATACTGTTACCTGAGAAGAAACCAACCCTTCTTCTTTCTTTGCCACATACTTCAAATGATAATTAAAACAAAAATTAGAAAGAAGGTGTACTATCAATCAAACTCCAAATAATTTTTTAGACAAGATAAGTTATCCAACTGGCAAACAATTACAGTCAAACTTTAAATAATCAGTTAGACAAGATAAATTATCCAACTGACCATCATTTAAACCACATTTTACATTCTCAGGATACAATATTAAGAAATAACAATGATTGCATTCTTACCAACTTCTCTTTTCCTTTTGAAAAATTGGACTTAGATGATTTCTTTCCAAGAAGCAAGTTCTTAATCCATCTTCCAGGCAACCTCCCCATCTTCGTAAAACAAAAATAACTAAACTCCCAAGTATGTTACTACGTAAATCTGAAAATTCATACACAACAAGACATCAATATCATTCAAACATAAAGCGATAAAACATTTAAACATAACATTAAAACACCCAACTTCCTCTAAATCTTAGTCTTGTACCATTAATCCATGTCCCATAAAATACACTTAAAAATGGTGCCAGACTGCCAGTTAAATTTCTACTAAATAACATTTTAAAAAAAAAAAAAGAGAGAAAACAGTATCCTTAAATAATCTACACCTACTAGTACTACCATGAAAATAAAAAGATGAAGCTCATTTCCATAAGAATATAATCAACTTCAAACTGAAAAACCAGTGAAGATGCAACCGAACTACAACCGAAGTACGCATCTACCTAACACCGGGAAAAAATCAAAAGAAGCAGGCACCATGCAATCGGAACCAGAGCAAGATAAACTGTAACGACCTGGTCGGTACTACAGGTCTACAACAACCAAGCATGTCAACGAAATCAAACGGTAAAGTAGAGGAAGTTAATCTAAGCTGGATCCAGAATCATACCTGCAAATGCAGTATCAGCAAACCCTAAGACGCCGCCATTACTAAAAAAGAAAGTAATGCACAGAATATCAGGAAACAAACAGGCGATATTTCCAGAGATCTGAAGAACAATATTTCAAGAAAATCAAAGAAAAGCCGAGAATGAAGAAGAGAAATGTACCAAAATCGAGCTCTTCTTTTCCGTTCTCATTTTTTTGGAAAATTTTTGGTTGTGTTCGCTCCACAAAGTGAGCACTGCTGCAGAGGAACGGTTAGGGAAACGAGACAGAAATGGAATATCTATATTTGGACAATGGAGATGGCGGAGTAGGGGATGTGAAACGGAGACGACACCGTTTGATTTTTAGGTGGGTCCCTTTGAACTTTCAAGTCCCAATACGAATCAAGAGACGGCAGAGGTGGTCCCACATCAGGAATCTATTAATTTACCTAAGTGCCCTTTGCTGTAGTGGTTAAAATCACAGCCTTTTGTCAGGCTCATACTATTTGTCTAATTTTTATCATAAAAATTATTAAAAAAACAGTTAATAATAATTTATAAATAAATATTTTAAATATTATAATTAAATTTTTAATAAAAATTATAAATTAATAAAAATAATTAAATTACATGAGCATAACAATTAACAGTAAAACTATAATCACGTGCTCCTATTGTAATGTGTTTTTTATATTTTAATCATAATAAATTATATAATATAATAAAAAATATCATTTTTTCTTAAAATCTCTTAATTAAAGATTTAAATTTAAAATTTTCAAAATTTTAATCATTACCCCATCCCTTTACTGCTTGTTTGGAGGCTTGGACAAATTGCGGGATTGGATAAAAAATTATCTTGTCCAACTTAATCCCATGTTTGGACGGTACTCGGGATGAGATAAATAGTATTCAATGATTTATCCAATCCCATTCTGAAGAGATAAATTTAATCCCACCATACCCATGGGATACGAATGGATTGGATTCAATTTACCAACTCTACCCCTTTATTCTCACTATTTTCTTCCTGATGGCTTGCCTCTCATTTTCTCAACTTTGGTATGAGAAAATGGAGCTCCAGTTAGATCTATGTATTTGACGGCTTCATAGATCTAGTGCAGGGAAAACAAAGTCTCTCCGATCATCAGAAAATCGACTGCAAAATCCGATCATCTTCATCTCTGGTAATGTGGTTCGATCGCGTTATCAGCAAAAATTGAAAGATTGCTATTAGTATTTTCGGACATTGCTTCCTTACTTCTTCATCCTAATTCAACCTATCTTTTGTTGAAATCAAAGAACCCAACTGAAAATCAAGTCAAATACCAAAACCTGTAACTGAAAAAAAGGTACCCTAGTCCTGTTGAAGAAGATGAACAATAGAAAGATGAAGGAGGCATTCGGGTTTCTGCTTGATTCCAAGAAAAGAAAGAAAGAAAGAAAGAAAAGTATTTAATAATAATTGATAAATTAAATAATTAAATAAGGAAACAGAATTTGTTTGGTTAATTAATGAAAATTAATTTCGTTAATAAGTTAAATTAATGAAAATTAATTTTATTAATAAATCAGAATTATATTATTGTTTGAATTATTTTAAATTAATTCAATTTTCTTGATTTTGCATTTATAAGAAATAAAATTGCAATTTAAAAAAAAATTAAAATTATTGTTATATTACATTATAAGGGTATTTTTGTCCACAAACATGTGTTTATATCCAATCCTAATGCACTCCAAATGTGAGATTAGATATTATATAATTACTATAGACTTGGCAAAAATACACACAACCCATTAACCATATCTTAATCTGACCGTAAGAATGAGTGAGGGTCTACATATTTCAACCCGTAACTCATAAATAACCTATATTATCAATCTGGGTTAGGGTCAACCCACGAGTTGACAGGTTGACCCGTTTGTTTTATTTTTTATTATTATTTTTAAATATTATACTTATTATTCTTAATTAATTTTCCTATTATTAACTCTTTTCATTAATTCATACTACCTAATTTTTAGAGAAAGACGAAAAAATTATTATGAGTTTGATTTAATTATCCAAGTATCATTTTTTTTTTTTTTTGATATTAACAATTACCCAAGTATCATGAATGAAATGATAATGCAACTAAAAATATTAAAAGATGTGATGCTATAACATAAACATAATAACTTAGTGAAAGATGTTATTGGAAGAGCAATTTCATCATTAAAAAAATGGCTCAAACTACTTGATAATGTTTCAAAATGATTATAAAATTAAAATTTTATTTTTCAAGAAATTTAAATATTTTACGTTTAATATTGTTATTGTTAATCAACTTATTATTATTTATAACTTTATAATTTTTTTCTTAATTTAATTGTTTGTGATTGAGACTATAAAG